CTACCGCCGCCGGATCCGCTCGCTTTATATAGCAGCCGCTCCTCCTCTTCCCCTCCCTCGTGTTGCTGCCAGAACCTAACATACGATTTAATAATTTTTACGATTATTTGGGATACGCCACAGTAAATTTGGTAAAAGAGGATGTTCATGTTCCTTTCCATAAGTGATGTTTATTTTCGTGTTTTTTTTTTTATTTTTATCTCCGTTCTTATATATCTTGTTCCTTCCATGTTTTTGTATGTCTTCTATTTTTCTTATTTGCAATCTCTCAGTTAGTATACCTATTCAGTTTTTCTTTTCTTCCTCTTTCTTCTCCTTTCTTCACACGCCCCTTCCTTTCCCCTTTCTGTCTTCACCATCTTCACTTTTACACCTTTCTTCCCTACTCTCTCTCTCTCTCTCTCTCTCTCTCTCTCTCTCTCTCTCTCTCTCTCTCTCTCTCTCTCTCTCTCTCTCTCTCTCTCTCTCTCTCTCTCTCTCTCTCTCTCTTAGCTTCTATTTTTCTTCCCCTTCCTGCCGCCTGCCTTCCTCCTCCAGTGAATAACTGAAAGGTGGAGTCTATTTCCCCAGTATTATTATCTTCTCCCTCGACGGCGAACACATTGTTGACTCCCGACAACCCTCCCCTTCCGCTTCTTTCTGTCTCCTCCTTCCTGTTCTATTTTTATCCATTATTTTTTGTTTTTAACTCTTCATTAATTGTCGATTTCTGTTCATTGTACTTACTCATTTCTCCTTGAATCGTTTACTGTAATGTAGATGGTGAACTTTGATAGATACATTAACGTCTCGTGTAGATCTTAACGTGTGATGCACGTCTTATCTTAACTTTTGGTGTAGATATTATTATATCCTTTCCTTTTCTCCTTCTCTTCCACTGTTAACCTCAGTTTTACATTATTCTTAATCTAATTTATTTTACTCTTGCTCTCTCTAGTGCTTCAGTATCCGTTACATGGACAAAGCTCATACCATTTTCACAGACGCATGAAAACGACGACTGTTCCTTACATCAGATTTCTCGGCGATGTCAACGGGGACTTCGTGATTATCGGAAGTTTGGCGGCGTAGACATCGTAACTCGGGACGACAGCAGTGGCGTGCAGTCTGGTGATGCCCGGGCCCAACGACTTGATTGTATGCCCCAAAGACTCAAGTATAGGGCTTAGTGCTGAGGAGTATTATGAGATAGGGAGATATTTTGAATATGTCAACATCGATGAAACATGAAACAAACGCTTTATTTGATTTTGAAATACAGTTCAAAATCATCATCTTATTTCTCTCTTATTGGATACCCCCCCCCCCCCATTTGGATGCCCGGGCTACCGCCCATTCACCCACCCTCTGCACGCCACTTGTTGGCGGCGTTTAAGAATGGCTTCACTCTTATCTGCTTTCGTGAGGATTTTATTTTTCTCTTTAAAAGATAAAGTCTATAAGAGCAGTCGGGACTGAAGGAGATAAGAGAGAACGAAGGGATGAGACGCGACCTTCTGAATGTCAAGATGCAGTGCTTGGTCACGTGGTTTCCAGTGTGGATTTTTCGCTCTCTCTCTCTCTCTCTCTCTCTCTCTCTCTCTCTCTCTCTCTCTGCCTCCCACCCCCCTCTGTGTGTGTGGGTGTGGATGTTGTGTGGGTGGGTGGGTGCAGGCGTTCCTCATATACGTACCCAAACACGCAGACACACATGCCAAACCACACTTTATTGTCATCTCTCTCTCTTTTTCTTTCTTTCTTTGACACTCACTGGTTTATTTTCAGGGGATGGATAGTTAGATGAATGTATAAATGGAAAGAGAGAAAGAATAGTAGGTAGAGAAGCAGATAAACGGACAGAAAGATGGTTAGATAGACATAGATAGAGACACGTATTCGAATGCCCAAGTTTATAGACAAAAATAGATACAGTCTGCTATATTTAGACTATTATGCAACGGTGTTATGGCACACACGACATCCCTTGGCTAACTTCTCGAGAAGTTACCTTGGCTAACTTCATGAGAAGTTAGCCAAGGCGTAATCATGTCACCTCGTGCTCTTCCTTCCTCCAACGTCCTTTTCATTTCTTCAGTCATTCATCGTAGTTCATATCCCCTAAAACAAGGCCGTTCGTTGAACTCAGCTAATCCCCATCCTTCATAAATATGGACTCCATAAACTCCATCCTTGTGTGGATCTCCTTTTCTCATATTCTCATCGACGTACAGGAAAGCCATCTTTATGTTCTGATGTAGAGGTCGATTTCGGGGATCTCCGTACCCGACCACATGGCATTTTGTTGTTTTTAGGAGCCCGGCGGAAATTCTCGTTGGTTATACTTTCTTATATTTTTACGTCGTCTGTGATCGTATCTAAATAGGTGTCTGAACCCAGATCAGTGATGAATATGTGGATGTGTGTATGTGATATTTGTTTGTGTGTAATAATAAATGTATATGTGTACTAGTTGTCTTCTATTACTGAGAGAAGTACCCATGTGTTCACAACCAAATACATACTGAAAACTGCTTTAGAGCATGACATCATCGTGCTAGTACAGCTTCCTTATTTTATTCCTGGTGTTTTGGAAGGAAATTGCTGTTCGAATGTGTAATACACGGTTCCTGCAGGCTAATCAACAGGCTTTGCGCCTCATATATCATATATCACTCTCGCTCTCGCTTTTACACGCTCTTTCTTTCTTAATCTCTCTCTCTCTCTGTGCTGTGTGGTGCAGCGGTAGCGATCTCGTCTAGCAAACTTGCTGACCTGCGTTCGAATCCCTCGCCGCCAGTGGATGGTAACCCCGGCCATTCCTTGCACACAGGGGATAATTTAGAAGCAAAATAAACAGACAGTATGTCACACCAAGAATATCCATCCTCGCCACCAGTGGATGGTAACCCCGGCCATTCCTTGCACACAGGGGATAATTTAGAAGCAAAATAAAACAGACAGCATGTCAGCACAAGAATATCCATTGTAACAAATGGAATCAAACTAAATTATATTTACTCTTTAAGTATGTATGTATGTATGGTTAAAGGCTATCGGAAGTCACCCTATACAACTGCTACCTTGTAGTTCAATCTGCATGGTCAAAGGCTCGATGTTCACCGAGAGGTAAAATCCGGAGACAGAATCTGTGAGGCAGTTCGTTATTGCTTGCGACCTCATTCTGGCAACTCCTGCGACGCCGCTGGTGCCAAATCGTATCGGTCTATGTCGTTCCTTTGGATCTATCAACTGCTTGGAGGGAGGTAGCCTGCTGCATGAGCAACAGCTTGCTCCTCATATTCAAGCATTGACTCTACCTATACGGGAGTGGGTAGAGACAATAATGCCATAGTCGATATTGACTGATTCGTGCCCTTATGTATATGTATATATATATATATATATATATATATATATATATATATATATATATATATATATATATATATATATATATATAAATATATATATATATATATATATATATATATATATATATATATATATATATATATATATATATATATATATATATAAAGAGATACACGTAAATTCAATAAGCTGTTCACGTGGCAGTGATGGTCCAAAAAAAGAAAAATGTATGACTGAGCTGTACATCTGAGCTGCACCGTAGAGTCTAATATGAGCCTTTGTGATAACTACAGGTAGCAGCCGAGAATGTTGAAGAGGCAGGAATTAGTCGGAGTTTATGTATACCAGCAGAAACGCGGACCGAGCCACCTGGCCCATCAGCCGTGATTCTTCTCCAAAAAGCGCCAAATGCAGCCTTGTACACAGCAAAACCCATCGCTCAGGAAATGCACTTGTGTTCTGTTTCACTATTCTTCTTGCTTTTTTTCTCGGCGGAAACTCACTTACTGTTTAACTGGTTGCCAGATTCATACAACATCAGTAAAAGCAAAATTCCTGACGCAAGTCGTTTAATCCACAACGACTCCAGCTCAGTGCAAATCCCGTCACGTGCTTTCGGGAGCGGCGAGGTAGTTGAACAAACAAACAGATATATATGTATATACATATGATATATATGTAATTATAAGTATGTATATATATACATATATATATATATATATATATATATATATGTATATATATATATATATATATATATATATGTATACATATATATATATATATATATATATATATATATATATATATATATATATATATATATATGTATACATATATATATATATATATATATATATATATATATATATATATATATATATATATATATATATATATTCATATGCATGTATGTAAACACTTCACGCAATTATCATTATTCAGTTATTCATTTTTTTACTCTTCTATTCTTTAAAGTATCTTTGTCTTTCGCTTTCTCCTTTCTTCAGAATTGCCAGTGCTGACCGTTGACCTTGTCTGTACTGTCAGCACAAAAAACATGTATTATAAGCCTTCACGTTCTGTCTTTCTCCGGATTTATTTAATGTGTGTGTGTGTGTGTGTGTGTGTGTGTGTGTGTAAATCAGATTTCCCTTTTTTTGTGGTTTTATTTTTTAAATTCTATTAGCGAATTGCTATATACATATAAACATATGTATATACGCAGTTTTATATTTGTGTATTACTATAATCAGTAAGCGTATACATACACATCATTACGTTTTTTTATGTAAAAACACCAAAGAAATTAAATGTCTGCTAGCCTCAGAAAATACACTGACTGGATTTCCCGAAGAGAGAGGAGGTGGATCTGGGAGGCCAGCACGAGAAGGGGGGGGGGAGGGGGACATTCAGTTAGGAGATACGTACATTTAAATATTTAATTCATGAAACTTCAATACAAGCACATAAATTTCCGCTTAATGTTGTTGCATGTAGAGGTTTATAAGAACACACAAGACGTATTTATAGATAATGTGGAATGATTTCCTAAAGCGATGATTTGGCGGGAAGTCAACTTTGACAAATTTATTGAGACAAAACCTTACATCTCAAAAGGATGAGGTTAACTTAAGTTATCCTCATCC